GTGTCAACATGAATTTCTCCTAAGGGGGATAAATAAAGGAATTATCTTATCTTATCTTATCTTATCTTATCTTACATAAAGAAATCTGCACGTAAATATTTATTTCCACTTCCAAATGTTATTGTTTGTTGCTTGTTTATAAATACTGTACATAGTAGATTATGGCTATTTTTTTATTATTTATTATTTTTTTAGCTTGTTGTGTTGTTTATTTATGCTCAGTCTGCCAATAAAACTAATTCTGATTGTCTAAAAAAAAAAAAAAAAGTTATTTAAAAAAAAATAAATAACAAAAAAAAAAAACTCAACTCCAACTAAACCTCGCGAGATCTCACCAAAAAACTCAAAAGCAAAATCCGCGTAATATCGCGAGACCGCGCCGTTCCTCCCTTTGTGATTCACGTAGACCTTTACGTCCGTTTCTCGGCGTACGTCCGTTGCGCAGACGTGCCGCTGCGCTGCTCACCGTGCGTAAGTAGCAGCGACAGAAGGAGAAGAGGAGGGAATGTCGGCTGCTGAATGATCGCTGTTTGAGGCGGCAGGGAGCGTCAACGTTATGGGTGAGACACACTGACTCCTCTTCACCACAAACCACCGCGTTACCGGAGACAACCGCGCGGGTTGTTCTTCGTTTCAGTGTCGGGTTTTAAATTTATCCATCGGGAAACAATTACGGGGTTTTTTTTATTTTTTTTTTGTAGCTTCTGCTGTTGTCTGAGCAACCAACGCCCAGTCGGATGGGCTGCTAAGCTAAAAGCTACTTATTATTATTTATTATCTAACGGGAGAGAGGCTCACTGCCTTTAACGGGGGTATTTATAGTGTATTAAAACGATAAACCGCGTTAAAACCCCGGTTGGGATGGCGCGTTAAAGTCGTATGTTGGATTAAACAGCTCACGTAAATGCTAACTTGTTCAGGAGGAGGAGGAGGAGGAGGAGGAGGAAGAGGAGGTGTAAGGTTACTGTATTTGGCTGTGAGGTAACGTTAAATAGTCCCAGTATGCAGCATTATAATTGTACACGAAGACAGAAAAAAGAAAAAAAAGAAAAGGGGGGTGAGCGTCCACCTCTTTGTGCTTTGGAGAGTAAAGAGGAAGAAGAGGAGGAGGAGGAGGAGGGGTTGCATTAGTGTGTGTGTGTGTGTGTGTGATCAATAATGTGATTAATCTGCTGCATTGGAGCCTCTAGGTTAGGCAGTCAAAGCCAAACCAGGAAGATGTGTCACGGTTCGGCATCAGGAGGTGTAATCTGGATTACAGTGGACTCTTCATCCTCCACAGTTCATGTTTTCACTCTCCACAGATCAGCTGCTCTTCAATGTGTGTGTGTGTGTGTGTGTGTGTGTGTGTGTCTCTCAGTCAGCACCAAACTGCGTCCCGTCCAGGAGGTTTTCTTTAACTTCACAAAAGAAAAACGTGCACAAAGCAGAAAGTGTAGCCGAGTCCTCCGCCTGCAACCACTTCCTTTCGCAGACGTATCAGACGGAGCCGGAAAGGAAACCGTCACAGTGACGACGGCGCTCCTCACATCTTCTGCTCACACTTTAACACCTTTTTCTATATATAAATATAAATATACGTGCAAAAATCCAACGTGTGTCGTGGTTCGGTAGGAATGCAGCACGGAGATTAAGATCCACATCCTGTACAGTTCAGATCCTGAATCAGTTTTGAATCAATCCGTTTCGTCTCTCAGCTTTAGGGGGGTTTTTGATTCTGCGTGGGTTTTGTTTGTGACACTGTTTTTGTGACTGATTCTCTGTTTCTCTCTTTGCTTTCTGCTCGTCCTGCACCTTCGGGACCACGTTGCATCCGTCTACACAAAACCAGCTGTAAGTATTGAAATCACGTCGAACCAGACAGTTTTTACTCGACGAGTGTTCGTCTGTGCGGAGTGCACATTTTGAGCTTATAAAACCTGTGGAAAGAAGAATATAATCTATCATTCACAAGTCTTTAAACCCAGCAACACTTGCCTAAGCAGGTTAACTGTATGTTTTATATTATTGTATATTTTTATATTATATCGTCTGTTGTGTAATTGAGTGTTTAAATGTAAATTTTAGTATTTAGAAATGTCTGTTTCACCGTGGGAGAGTGAGAAACGTCCTCTCGATTGATGTCCTCGACAGTAAAGCTGACTTTGACTTTGTTTAATTGTATAAACGGGAGGAAGCAGTGAAAAAGTAGAGCCTAATTCTGAGTGTACATCCCTGTTGGCAGCGTGGGAGGAGCGCGATCAAAAACTTTTTAAGCTTTGCAGCAAACACGGGGCTGCAAGATCAGATTTCCCCTTTTTTTGTGTGTGTGTTTTTTGACGTGTGTGTTTTCTTACTGTCTTTGCAGCAGCAAAAGAATCTGGAAGGATATGTCGGCTTCGCAAGCCTCCCCAACCAAGTGTACAGGAAGTCTGTGAAGAGGGGCTTTGAGTTCACCCTGATGGTCGTCGGTGAGAACACACGGCCGCCGTGTTTGCCCTCGTTTTATATGAATCATTTCTTTGTATTTATTGCGGTTGGCATTTTGAAGTCCTTCGCTGTGGTTTGTTTTTTTCGAGAGAGCGCGAGAGAGATTGTGTGTGTGTGTGTGTAGCCATATTTATACACAAGGGACATGCCCCAAGCTTTGTAGTGTTAATTGCTGAGTCAGAGAGGAGGAGGGGGGCGTTGCTTTGCTTTGCTGTTATTTGAATTAATCTTGATGTCAGGTCCTCGACGCTGTCTCCCAGAACAGAAACATTTGGGATGGATTTATCTCCGCTGCACACATTCCTCTAAAATGCTTGGATGTGGTCGTTGACACCGGGCCAAGATCCTCCTCGGCCGATCAGTCCCTGTTTGGAGGGAAAATGTTTCCTTGGGTCAAAACCATTTCCTGTGGTGGGACGGACAGAATTCGTACCCAGCATGCCTCTAAGAATAGCGCATCTCCCATTGCGTCCACAACACGTTGTTTCTACAGGCTTACAGTGCTGCTGACGACACACTTCACTCAGTATTTTCACTCCTGTTATTAGTTACTTACGTTAGAACATCCTCATAATGAGACACGTCGGGTTTAGTTCGCTCCTCTTTCTCCTGCTGGACGGAGATCAAGTGCTCCTCCTGTGAATGCGTCGCTGTGTTCGCCACAAATAGCTTCATTTTGGGAATAATTTCAGAAGAGACACAAATGGCGTTGCATCTAGCAACAGAGAAAGTAGAGGAGGTCCTCTGGGGCTTGTTGGCAGTTAAATGCTCGCCATTGTTTTTATGGTATCACACACACACACACACAGCAACTTTATGGTATCACACACACACACACACACACACACACACACACACACACACACAGTATTCAGCTTCTTGGCTGTGATGAGCTGCGAGCCCACATGCCCCCTCCACGCAAGGCACTGCGTCACCAGTGTGGTGTGAAAGAGGAAAGGAGGATGAAGGAGGGAGAGAGAGAGAGAGAGAGAGAGAGAGATGGGGTTGGTATTACCAGCAGAAACACACGACCCGACAACCTGCTCACTTCACACGGCAGAGCAGCTCATTTCACCGGCCTGGTGTAAACAGCAATAACCGGCACGTAGCTCGCTCCACGCGGGCAGACGCTACCGGACGAGCGCCGCACATTACCCTCTGCCTGTAGCTCCGGTGTAAACGGGGGCTCGTTAAACATTGACTTGTGGCCATCAGCCGAGGCAGGCGGTGTCAGCGGTCACTTCCACTAATGATCCTTTTCAGTGGGAGCTTGGAAACTGGGCACACAGCGGCCAACCGAGCTTGAGAAGCCTCCCAGACCACACAGCCAGTCAGCGGCACATAACAAGAGCCATTGTCTGTGTTGTTTCTTTAGCCTTTTAACCGTTAACCCAAATGGATTAATGTCTCGGGCAAATGTCAGTCTCATCCTCGGATAGACGCGCGGCCTTTGATTTGTCTTTACGATGTCAACGCTGGTCTTTGTGTGGCTGTAATAGCAGCAGCAGGAATGTTTAGTGTTTACAGTCTTTGCCAACAAGTCACAGTGTTCCTGAAATGCTGATTTTGGCTTCTGCTTTTTTTTGTTTTTCAGGTGAGTCAGGGTTGGGCAAGTCCACGTTGATCAACTCTCTGTTCCTCACAGACCTGTATTCAGCAGAATATCCTGGACCTTCACATCGAATCAAAAAGACCGTGCAGGTACATTTAGGCCAGTGAATATTCTCTTTGAGCTGAGATGTTGCACACGGCGTTAAAAGCAAACCTCCCGCAGCAAATAAAAAGATATAAATACAATACAGAGCTGAAACATTTCACAGTTAGTGGTATTTAAATGTTTTTACACTCTGGCTGTGGCTGATTGTCTAACCCACCAACAGCTCTGGCAGCTATCCAAACCATCATTTTAAGGTTTTATTTGAAAGTCTGTCCACAGAACCAACAAATCCAGATTCTGCAGCATCTCATGGCACATTTGTGTTAATGACATACATGCCCACTTAATTATTAGGTTGTTTTCCAGCGTATTCTCAGAGATGTAGTGATTAACTGCCTCATGCTGCGTTTCCATAAAACACTTTCAGTATAGTACCCTTAAAACCTGTACCTACATGCACCTAAAACCTCGATCTGTTTGGTGTTCCCACCGCAGACAGTACTCCTTCATGTAGGCGAGGTTGTTACCGGGACTTCTGGGCTGAACGCTTTCACTTTTCCTGCAGTTGGGGAAACAACAGACGAGACTTTTCTTTGTCTTGATGAGCCGCAGCGTTTATTAACTGACACACTGTAACCTACACCGTACATTTACTGCCAGATTGACAACGTGCCGCTAACCTTTTCCTCGGCGCCGCTCCATTACGCACTGAACTGTAAGCTCCTCTCGTAATAGCAAAGACACAATAGAGGACATTTTATGTTTCATGCTCTTTCTTCTCGGTACGCGGTTGTTTGTCAGGAGAAGGAGACGAGCTTTTGTTGGAGAAAAGGCTGCAGGCAGCGAGACAAACGAGAGGCTGAGAGGCTACATCAGAGCGAGGACATTAAACTTATTATACTTCTATACTACTTACTCGTTAACAGTTACAGCAGCAACTGGACCATTGACAAACACAACACCTTAGAATAAAAACACACGTCTATGCACTATTCATAAAACATTGTGATGTACAGTACCACAGTCCCAGACAACCTGCTCTGTGAAAAACAAAGAATAATGTACGTTTCTCTCTGAGGCAGTAAAGTTTGTTTGTCTTGATGGTTTAAAGAACTCACACTCAGTCAGCTGCTGCCATGAATGCCTCTTCCCTAATTACACAACGTTGTCCTGAATCTCAAGAGCCTCAAGTGCTGTACTTTATCTGTCTGTCTGGCTCCTGACTGACAGCGCTGCTATCTCCAGATGCTTGTGTGCGTCTCCGGTTTCTCAGCATACTCGGCTAATAGCACAGTGTGAGATGGCGTGTTGCTACATGCTGCTAGCTTCAAGTGTTTTCCATGTGAAATATATGATGTGTGAAGATATTACCTTGAAGCGATAACGATTTCACAGCCCTCCATATTATGGTTTCAGCTTTTTTTTAATTAATTAAACAGTTTACTTTTTGTAAGTCGAAGTAAACACAATGTGTCCTTCACTGTCTCTCCTGTGTCAGGTGGAGCAGTCCAAAGTTTTAATAAAAGAAGGTGGCGTCCAGCTGCTGCTCACAATAGTTGACACCCCAGGGTTTGGAGATGCTGTCGACAACAGCAACTGGTAAGGAATATAATATTCCCTCGTTTATATTCTATAAAACGTCAAAGCTACTCTCTGACGTTCCTCCCTCAGGGGTACTTCTGGGTCTTTGTGGGGATTTGTTTATTAACTGAGGCTGGAATTTGTCTTCTGCAGCTGGCAGCCGATCATCGACCACATAGACAGCAAGTTTGAAGACTACCTGAACTCAGAATCCCGGGTGAACAGACGACAGATGCCTGACAGCCGAATTCACTGCTGCCTGTACTTCATCGCCCCCTCGGGACACGGGTGAGTCCGGGAGACAAATTCACACCACAGTCAAAGCCCGACACCACCCGTGTTGTTGGTATTAGGGCTGCAG